ATACTTACACTTCATTCTTTCAAATAATGTATTGTCAGTTGTGTTAGCATTCTATCTGACAAGGGCTCTTAAATGTGCTTGAAAAGTATGGTTTCAAATAAACCTGAGTTATTAAACATAGAATTTTTACTCTGAAAATCACTTTTTTACCTGATGTTTAACTGCTCGAAAACAAGTCCAACAAAAGAGCTGAAACATGTGAATTCCTGTTAAATAATTTGCATTAAATTGCCACAAATCCGTTACCCAAAGGTTTTATAGTACTATCATTGTTTCTTCAGTACAACCTATTCCTTTAAATTATAATGACTTGTTTTATTAACTTCAGAGATGAACAATGTATTACATCGTTTTCAAATTCCTCAAATTTACATTGTATTTTAGTTCGTCAGAAAAGCACTGCATTGTTTGAAGGGTTTGTTTTGAATTTCGAGCAAAGCTACACGTGGGCTATCTGCGCTAGCCGTCTCTAATTTAGCAGTGTAAGACTACCCACTGCCCACTCTTGGGCTACTCTTTTACCACGAATAGTGGGATTGACTGTAATATAATAACGCTCCTACAGCTGAAAGGGCGAACATGTTTGGTGGGATGGGGAATCGAACCCGCGACCCACAGAATGCGAGTCGATCGCCCTAACCACCTGGTCATGCTGTTTGAAGGATTCAAACATATATTTAATATAATATAATCCCTAAGCTATTTGATTTGAGATCTTAACCGGTAAAAGAGATTCAAACTAAAACACTAATAATTAAATTTAACGGACGAACTTTCACTGACGATGTTGCTATTGTTGTAAAAGGGTTTTTATCTCTAGAAAGTAGAATGTCATTACATATGTTTTGATGTAAAGTCCTTTACGTTATCTTTTATTAAACGAACGCAAGCACGTATGACGTTATTTAAAATTCTAACAATATAGAAAATAGAAATAATAATACAAGAACGACAATGTAAACAGGCTGTGTATATCATAAAATGATTGAACAGAAATTACGTATATTACTTATTATTGTACTATTAGCTTTGTTGAAGCTGGAATGGCGAAAATTTGGCTGAAATTAAAAGTTTTTTTTTATTATTATCTGGAGAATAAGAATCAGTTGTTTTCTTAGATAACATTAAAAGTAATTACAGTGGAAACAAATAACACGATTACATCAAAATGAAATACAAAACAATTTTTAAACATGGAAGAACATTTTGACGTACATTAGGATTACCTCACGTATATCAACACTATAATGAACATTATTTGCATTATTGAATAAAAAAATATAAATACAAGTTTATCAACTTATTTTTTAGTCCTAAATTAGGTTTAGAGATAATAAATTATTCCTCCTACAAACATATTAGCCCATAGAAATAAAGTTAAATCTAGTGCAGATTCTTTAAGCTTTCTTCCGCTTT